TTCAATGAAAGGAACTTTTCGGCTTTAATTCAGATCTGACGGATCAGATCCGAATCCAATCCAAATCCGACAGATCAGATCCGAATCCGAATTAGATCCGAATCTGACAGATCTGATCTGAATCCGATCCGTCGGATTCGGATTGGATTCGGATCGATCCGAATCCGTGCGGAACACTATTCGTTTGAAATGATATTTTGATCATTCCAATCGAATGATTCTATTATCGTTCGTTTAGAATGATATTTTGATCGTTCCAATTGAACGATTTTCTTATCGTTCATTTGGAATGATAATTTCATCATTCCAATTGAACGATTCTATTATCGTTCGTTTGGAACAATATTTTGATCGTTCTAATCGAATAATTCTTCTATCGTTCATTTGGAATGATATTTTAATCATTCCAATCAAACGATTTTCTTATCGTTCGTTTGAAATGATATTTTGATCATTCCAATCAAATGATTTTTTTATCGTTTGTTTGGAACAATATTTTGATCGTTCCAATCGAACGATTCTTCTATTGTTCGTTTGGAACGATATTTTGATCGTTCTAATCGAATGATTTTCTTATCATTCGATTGAAACGATAATTTCATCGTTTTAATCGAACGATTCTTTTATCGTTCGTTTGGAACGATATTTTGATCATTCCAATCGAACGATTTTCTTATCATTCGATTAGAACGATAATTTTATCGTTCTAATCGAACGATTCTATTATCGTTCGTTTGGAACGATAAATTTAATTGTTTCAAACGATCCAAAATTTTAGATTAATCCGAAATTTTCGGTTTGGTTTGGATTTTTTTTAGTTCAGATTAGATTTATAATTTGAAAAAAAATCTGAACTGAACTGAAAATTTTTGGATTGAATTTTTTGCAATCTGAAACTGAACCAAAGTTGATCTGAACTGAAAATTTTCGGATTAATCCGAACCGTTCGGAGCTTTAAAATGAACAAACTTCTGTAATTGATGAAGAACTTGGATATAAAAACTTTAAACATGCTGGAGAGCAACTCTGTGAGCTTTAGAATCGTGATCTTATTAACAAAAGACCAGTTGTTGCTATATACGTTGAAAAACATGATTATACTATATTTTCAGATATAGAAAAAGGAATGTGGGATTGGATTGATTGTCATTCACAGATTTGCAAATATTCTTTTAATTTACGAAAATGTGATGATTAGAACTGTTGTGAACCACCACAAGCTACCGATGCTTTTGAACTGTTATCACTAAATAATGGTTTTTTTCCTCCTATTATACAAGGACAAGATAAACACTTTCTTAATCTAATATATATATTGGAATTTTTTGGTGATCAGCTTCCTGGGTATGATGAGCATTGTCCAAGTATTTCATCTGAATTATATCATGAATTTATATGCCAAAAATGTGGAAAATATTTTCCAACAAAAACATTTATAAAGTTGCATGTTAAGAATATGCATTCAAATAAAAGAGGAATAAAGCAAAAAATTGATAATGATAGACAATCTATGATTTCAGTTGGAAATGATAATGCAAGAAATAAATCGGCAGATCATACAGAAGGATCCAAATGTGTAGACCAATTTATTAACCATAAAGATAATAAAACTGCAATCATGCAAATGCATAAACAAAAAGGTAAAGATAAAGCAAAAAATCCTTGGGATCAGGATTATCTTATGTTTCAAATTTAATTTCAATGAATAATATAATATTATAATTCAATAAAAAATTTTAAAAAAAAAACATTATTTAGTATATTTTATAAAACTATCACGTGATATCGATTTCCTTAAATGGAATTGATGACAAGGGGGGGGAGGGGGGAAAAATCCCGAAAATTAAAATGACATCATTTCTGGCCCTCCCCTTACGGATTACATGGCGAATGGTATAAAAATGAAACGGAATATTGTCTTACCTGCAACACTTCAAGCAATAAATTCAAGTTCGCGATTGTAGCTTAGACCGGTCATGTGAGGGAAGAATGAGAATTTTTTATCTAGCTATATATGCAAAACTTCTTGCCCAAAAAATCAGGATAATAATTCACTTTCTTATAGGCAAAATTACTTTGAGAAATGGCATATCTTTAGGGTATGGAATCACGGATGTAAAGTCAAATTTGTGTAACTCTGATCGTTCCTCATGATTTGATCGTGAAGGTTACACCTATGATGCAATGTGGCCGATCACACGGCTGTGAAACCCTGTCAGTATTTTTTTTCGTAAATTATCTTGAGTGCAAAAACGGCATAAGTATTTCGACGATAATGATGTTAGTAATTGGAGTATATACGGGTTTCATGAAGAATGGATACGTCATAATGAAGACGATCCAAAAAAACTACGCTATCAAAAGGCAAATGACACTGTCACAAAAAGTCTACGTTCTCTTATTAATGATTGCGAAGATGACGTGAAGAGACAGGGAGGCTGCGAAACTTCTAGCAAACAAGGCAAGTATGTTATTATGGTAGAGTCGGTGAGTCCTATTTTATACTTTTGTGAGAGTCGGTGGTGTGAACTGTTGTCCATACTAGGAGAAACCAACTGTTTGCTGGTCCTCCGAATGCCTGCTTGGAGGTGTGGCAACAGTTGTCCATGCTAGGAGAAATCAACTGTTTGCTGATCCTCCGAATGCCTGTTTGGATGCATGGCTTGTCACGATGCCGATATGCGTACTTAGGAAGGATCAGATTTATTATACATTATGTACGATATATTACATCGTTTCTTAACCCTATTTTTCTTGTAAAGAGTAAACGCAATTCTGGAAGTGAATCTTGATAATTTGTGGGCTCCCATAGAATATAAAAATCTCGAGCAATTGGCGCGTACGAGATTAAATTGCGAACAGGTAGTCCATGAATTTGATTATTGTCCATTTTCAATCAAGTATTATGGTATTATTTGTCATAGTTTAAAATTACCTTCTTCATCAGGTTGATAATGTCACAAGATTCTCATCCGCTTTAACTGGTGCTGCGGTAAAGAACTTAAGCAACGTTATACCAGAGTCGACATCAGTCATACCGAGTAAACGACCTTTTGAATCTCCTAATTCAGAAACAGCATCAACAGGACAAGAAACACCAGAGGGAGCAAGAACACCATCATCCGGATCTCCTCCGAGTAAAGATATCTCTACGCCAAACAAGCGAGATATGCATAATGAGAAGGTTGTTCGGTGAGTTCATATATTCATTGCGAGCATCTGACTTGAAGAAAGTTAATTTGATATTTTTATTATATGTTAGTTATCTTGACGCCATGGGAAGCTCTTTGAATTACAACCGAGTTCTTAGTGGTGCTCCTCCTGTATGGACTAAATCTATAGAGATGTACCTTAACAATGCTTTTAAAGTGAGTTTCATACTAACATGTTGGAAGCCAACAGATGTTTATATCTTTTCTGTCGATTTTACAGAAAGAAGGAGATGAATTCAAGACAGCAATCATGCAAAAAATCGAGGGAGATGAAAGAAATTATTTTCGTCTATATTGCGAAAAAATTTTAATTGATTTGTAAGTTTTAATTGCCATTGTCGTTTTTAGATGACTAGCACTAAACCTTGCTTCACAATTCCAGTTATAATTTGGTTGATATCTTCCCTAATATGTCACGAAGAATTGGAGAACGAAAATACATTGTTCAGAATATTTCCTCCCTTTTTAAGTATTATGAAACAACCTTTGGAAATATAAGTTTCGACTGGATAGAATCGCATTCTCCGGCAGGTAAATTAACGAAATCGACCACAAATTCCGGCATTATTAAGGTGGATGTGAGAGGTAAGCAATTCATTCTTATTTGCGATTTCACCATTAGGCTCCTTAATTAATTCAACCAATTCTGAAAGGGGTCCGGTTGTTGGACGATAAAGAAATTATCCATGTGGAAGTCTCGGGTCCACCGTCATCTCCATCAGAGCGTCATTCTACAGATGATACGAAAAAATCATTACACACAGATATCCTGAATTTGATTTCGATTTTACTAGATCAACTTGATCTTTCTGTTGAGGTTGCAACAAGGATTAAAGTGTATAGTTTTCAAGTAATTGGTAGGTATTTTCTATTTATTTGTAAATAATAATTCAACTCACTGATTATACATTGTACTTGGTTATTAGAATATCGAATCACACTTTATTCTCTCAATATGATGAATGACGGCTCTTTTCTTGCATCGGAGTTATTTTCTGCTATATTTCCCTTTTCGTTTGATGCAAGAGCAAAGTACAAACAAATCCTATTACTTATGGGTATTTTCCACATAGGTAAAAATTATGCATATTGCTTGCCATTCTTTGGGTTGCTCACAGAATTTCCATGATTCTTAGAATGAAGTTACGAACCAAATTTCGTTAATGCAAGAACTCGATTTAGAAATTAACTTTCATGAAGGAAAGTCAGTTCGGAGTGTCCTAAAGATTCCTACGGCTTTGAAAGAGCTTCTACAGAAAAAATTTGATTGTTGAAAATGTATCGTGCATTAGTTTTTATTTGTAGAAAGTCATCGTATGCATACGCTATTTTATAATAATTAAAGTTCTAAGCAATCTCTGATCCATGTCACATGCGTTACAAATGAATATTTTTCCACAATAAACCTTAATAAATCAGCCAAAAAGACATCTATCACATGATTAGCCGGTAGATCCTGCTTCTATTGGTTGGAAATGAGAAGAGTCTTCACGATTATCATATGACAAAGCATGTATTATGGGCGTTGTATTAAATATATTTACTTTTTTAGAATCGAGATATACTAGTAGGAGAAATTGTAATTTGCCTACTACAAAGCAAATAGAAACATAAAGCAAAACTGTGATAAGCTTGTAAGGCAAAACTGAAATAGACAGTGAAATCACAATATGTCTGCAAGACCTGCAAGGCAATAAAAATTTCAGTTTTTTTTCTTATTGTTCATTTAATTTCATTTTTTTTTTGTATCGTTCATTTTTTCTTTTTGTATTGTATGTTTAATTTCATTTTTTTTTTTTATTTTTTCATTTCATTTTGTTTTTCTGTTTTATTTCATTTTTTTTAATTTTGTTTTTTCATTTTATTTCATTTTCTTAATTTCGTTTTATATTTTCTTTTCATTTTTTCATTTCGTTTTATTTTTCTAATTTCATTTTATATTTTCTTTTCATTTGTTTAATTTTGTTTATTCATCTCATCTCGTTTACTTAATTTTATTTTATTTTTATTTTTTTTTTTTAACGATGTAGCACTGCCAGTAACTTTATTAAATTTATATATAAAGAAATACAAAGTAAATCAAAAATAAATCTATGCTAAGTACTAGCTATTTCTAGTAGTTATATTAGTTATATTGCAAACCCGTTTGAATTGACCTATTATCGTCTTTCCCCTCCATCAACTCCACTAAGTGCATACTTAATGAAAATTAACATCAGCAGGAAAAGAAAAAAAAGACGTCAGTGTCTATCTAAAAATCTGAGAATGTGTAGCCAAATTTGTTCGCAAAATGTATCCAAGTTTCCCAGTTAAAAGAGAGGCTTGATGTCTGTCTGTGAGACAGGGTGAACTGGCACTTCGTTTACGCTTGTTTTGTTTAGTAATGCCTATTGAATGCTCTTTAGCGATTATTAAATTGCAACGGTATTTCCAGATGTCATCGTATAGCTTTTGGTGAAAGAGGAGCAGCGAGCGTGAAATGATGGAGAGGTATCGCTCTTTATTGCCAGCTATTTTGTGAACAATATTTATCAGGGAAGACGAAATTCTAGATTGAATGATGTCTGTATAGCCATTAGAAGCATTTGAAGGTGATGCGAAGGTATTGTTGAATACATCCTCTAGTTTAGTTTGGTGTGCTGTGTATCTGGCTCTGCATGAAAAGCTTAGCTGGTCAATAAGATCATTTTTGGTAGCCGAGATTGTATCCATAATTTTCGAGAAATACACTGAATATATCCAAATATGGAAAGCAGTTTCAGTAGCAATGTTGCAACCACACAAGGTCAGTATTCATATAAGTCAAATCGTAATAATATAAGGTGTGATAGTGAAGGGAGTTCGTTAATGAAGTTTTTAATTATGAATGATTTGAGCTTACATGAAGCAAAGGATGTGAAGAGAGAAGAGGTGTTCATCGAAAAAAGGTTCCAGATGGCAAACCAATTGATAGATTTATTGACTGTGAGTACTTTGAGTTTATCATTCCTGTTTAAATCCAGAAAGTTGCTAAATGCTTGTGCTGCAAAAAGTTGCTTGAGAAAATCTCTGATAGAGACCTCAATAGAAATATTATTAAAGCAAAATGAGAGATCTGATGAGGGGACATTATTAAGTAGCAAGGATAGAGGAGGTGTATTGCATCTATTTTTAGCTAATCTATCTGCTATTTCGTTATAATAATTTCCAGCGTGTGCTTTGATTTTGTGGAGTGAAACTTGGAGGTTGAGGTGATCAGTGATGTATCAGATAATAATCCAGATTGTATAATTGGGAACTTTTTCAAGCTTTCTTGAAGAAAGATGGTTGGAGAGCACATATTTGTTAAAACTATGAATTGTTGTCTAGCTAACTAGGTAGATGTCCACCACTGCGTTGTTTAGGGATACTATGAAGGCAGTGAGGAGAGCATACATTTCAGCTCGCGTGAAAGAGAGCTAATTTATGAGTGAGACTTTGAAGATAAATAGACCGTTGTCAGGGTGTAAGCAAATCCAACTGAATCCTATTTTACAGTTATCCATCTGAGGTCCTATTAAGGAGCCATCAGTGTAAAATGTTAAGGCTGTAATACTAATGAATGTGGATTACAATTGTTTAAGCTTGGATGAATATATTAATGGTTGAATAAGAAGATCAATGATGTTCTCAGAGAACGGAATTATTGAAGGGAAGTCATTATATGAACTGTGAAAGATCATATTGGTAATATGAGAGATTTCCCTAAATGATTGTTTGGATTAATTCTTGACTGTATGTGATTGCTTAGGAATGGTCTGAACTAAGTAGGCTAGGGTATTAGAGATATTGATGATGCAACGCCCAGATAAAACTGTCTGTCTGCTGAAAGAACAATCAGAGCATTTAACAAGCTGACAAACATTATTATGGTTGATGTTATAGGTGAAATGGTAACAGATGAGATAACTACTGTTTGAGATATCAACTATAATTTTTCTGAAAGTTGGACCATTGAGCGTTGTATTCCAGGTTGATACTATTTCTTTCATTTGGCTATTTAAGGTGAGGGCTTGAGAAATAGTTTTGTAACATGGTAAGGAGGAAGCTAGTCTGAATGCTGGTTTGATTAATCTATATACATGACTTTCTAAAACAATGTTGTCTACTTTATAGAAAAAATCAGATGAACCAAATCTTTTTGACTGATGGTTAAAATTTCTGAAAAGAAAATCAGAAGTAGTAATTAAATGATGACCTGAGGAAGAGATTAGTTGATCTAGAAAATATAAGTTATGGTTAGTGAGAATATTGTTATATCGTTTCAGTAGACTACTAGAAAGGATTTTTGTAATGGGTTGGGTGCCTCCCTTAATTTTATTCATGAGGAGCAGGGAAACATTAAGAGAAAGTTTTGAGGATAAAGAGCTAATAAAAGAGAGGAAGGCACCAATTAAGTTTCTATGTGAACATTTGTTGAAGGAATGTGACCAATAATTCAGGAGGAATGTAACAAGAACATTGCTTGACTGTAATTGGTAAAGTTAAATTAAAGAGATATTCTTATAAAGGGATGAGTTATTAAATTAGTAAATAAGAGCAGTTGAAAGGGATTTGATTTGCAGTGATCAGAGGTCGCTTAAGTTATAGAATTGTTTGGAGTTCAAAAGAGTGTTGGGAAGGATAAGGGCGAATTTATTTTTATGTTTGAAAAGTGAACGTATGGGAGCGAAAATTTTATGACATTCATTTTTTGAAAGGGGTATCAGCTGCATGTGATATTCTAGCAGGGGACACAAAACTATATTAATAATATACAATAGTTGTTTGTCCGTTAATAGTTTATATTTCATAGAGATGACAAAACAGTTCACATCGAATACGAACTGCTTCTTGATGAATGATTGAGCTCTCTGACTGTTAATCCATACACCTAGGAACTATACTGACCCTTCTTCAAGGGTAATATCGATAGTGGTTGAGCCAAATTTGATAGGAACAGGAAGGACATCAACATGGCAGGTCATCAAAAGTTTCGATTTGTCTTTGTTAAGCGCAGATCTGGTAAGACTATAAAATTCATCTGCAATGTGTAAAATTTCTTCTAAATCTTATTTAGAACTAGCCACCCAGTTTGTATTGTCCATGAACGTAAGTGATGAAACGGAGGCTGAAATAGTGCTGGTATTCATGGAGGTGATGTTGGAAATCCAAGTATGATCAATTGTATATCCTTTATTTAGGGAGCCTACTTCGCAGAGTAAGGGGTTCAAGTAGATATACCACACTAAAGGGGAAATAACTTCTTCTTGGTCAATACCTATCTTGACATCATATAAGTCAGTGGTTCCTTATGCGATAAATACAGCGTTTCTTCTCGAAGTAAAGAGGTTTATGATGAGTTCAGTAGCTAATTTAGGGATTTTGATTCTGTTTAAAGTGAGACGAAGGTAAGACAAATCTACGCGATCATAAGCTTTAGAAAGGTCTTGCAATAAAATTCAAATTTCTTTATTATTCTCGATAGTATCCTTTAATAACATATTGATAATTTTTATAGGTAGTTCTGTTGAACCTCCTGGCAATCTAGCAAAATTTCCTCCTTTGAGAATATTGTGGTTGGCTACTATTTGGGAGAGTCTATTGGTGATGATCTTAACAAGGCCTTTACGCGCAGTTTCAAGTAGTGTAATGGATCTGGTTTTGGTTATATCACATTCCCATTTCATAGGTTTGGGAATGGAGTATATGTGAGCGATTTTCCATTCGTTAGGGATGTCACCTATAGTGAAGCATATGCAGATGAGTTTCTAAATAAATCACTAAAGCTTGTCTCCAAGGTGAGCAATCATTTCATTGGTGATGCCAGAGGGACCAGCTGCTTTATTATTAGGAAGTGTTCTAAAGACAGCAAGCCATTCATCATATGTGGGAGGTTGCATAAGATTGGAATAGTGTTGATCATTAACGTAGTTCTTAGGTTTATATTACTCAGACCATCTGGGAGGCATAGGGTACACAGGGGTTGAGAGGACAGTGAAGTTTTAGAAATGATCAATTGTGACTCTCTTGATTTCTTCTGGTTCGATGGTAAAATGTTTATCGCCTGAGTCCTTGTCTGTGATAAGCAGTTTATCGAGCACTATGAATCGTTTCTTCTGATTTAAGATAGAGGTAATCATTTTGGAGGGTTATCTTGAAGGTTGTCGCATCGCTTATCTATAAAGGACTTGATAGTTGATTCTTTTATTTTTTGTATTTCAATTTTAGCTAAAGCTGTTAAAAATTTGTGAAGATCCTTAATTTTTAATTTGAC